TTCCTGGCGAAGGTCGTGGACTCGTGGGTCACCGCCGGATCGTCTCGCTGGGAGTCGAGGAACAGATCATCTCGGCGGGGCCGCCTGACGGTTCAGATCGCATCCCCACCGTGCGCTACAGTATAAGGAAGAGCGGCCCGCTGCTGCTAAGTGACCACGTGGCATTTGTACAGTTCGTGGCAGACAGCACAGCGCCCCCCTCCCAGCCCAAGACGCTCATCCTCTGGAACTCCAAGCTCACACCGTCCACTATCGGCAGCGTTCTGCTGTGTGGTGGATCCATTTCCCGCCTCGTACTCAGGACGGTGTTGTCCAGTTCGCTGAGCGAGATTGCGGCGTCGTTCCATTGGAAAAAAAACTAGTTGCCTACACATGAAATGTGAGTCATCGAAATGTCAACTAAAAAGGAGTGCTGTGAGCTGGGATACTACGTGTACTGAGGGCAATAAAGACGCTACCGGTATTTGTTCATCTTAAAGCGACTGGAGATTTTTACTTAACTTGTTACTGGGTCATGTTCTTGTAGTGGAGCTCTACAGACGTTAGAAGCGGAGGAGAATTCCCCGCCTCATCCTAAAGTATCAATAGATAATAGGAGCAGAAAGCTCACTCTTAGTGCCAAATGGCAGGTACAGCCTTCTCGATAATGGAGTTTGACAGTGCCCGCACATCCTGATCGCGCGATGCCTCAAATGCACGTAGTCGGTTGAGACCGTCGTGCTGCAGAAGGGAGTTGCAAAACACCGTGAGTTTGTTCATGTCACGGTGATCCACCGACAGGTAAAAGCTGAGCACATCGTGCAATACTTTCAATGCTTGCTTCACTTCGCGGAGATTCGGTCCACTCTCAATCTTGCCCTTCGCCTTGGCAAAGACATCCACTCGAGATGTTGTAGCCATCGGTGATTGAGCTCGAGCGAGAACCGTAAGCTCCTCGACGCAGTCAGCCGGGTGCTCCTGCAGCATCTTGAGCCGACCGTCGCTAAGATCGAGTGCGTTGTTCGAGAGCCGACGCATGATAGCTAAAGTAGGATTGGGATTGCTAGACGTCGCTGCCGCCTGCGCTTCCTCGTTAGCCTTGACTGTGCCAGCGATCTCCTCTTCAAGTTTCCGTAGCTGCACTCGACGACGCAACATGTCTGCTCGCTGAATGTTGGCTTGTTTGAGTGCATCGCTTTCGCTTTTACGTCTTCGGGCGTTACGCTCCTTCCGAGCGAGTTGTATCGCTTCACTGATCATGTCTAACGATGATGAGGCGCTGGCTGGAGGTATCCGCATTTGTGAGTGTCGTCGTTGCCGCCTCGTGTGGACCATTCCGTCGTCGTCACTAGAACCAGACTCGATGTCCCAGGCGCCAAGTGACTTGTGCTTACGCAGATCAAATCGTGCGCGAAGCAGCTCGTGCGCTTTTTGGTTCTGCAAGTGACGCCCCGAAGAGGCGTCCACCATTGCTGCGTACTGCTTGTCCAGGTGCTTCTCGTACTCCGGAGCTACCACGAAGTAGGATAGCAGCGCGACGGCTATAACGACGACGCTAAGCACGAGCACCACGAGTTGAGCCTCCGAATAATCAGAAGCAATGGCCATTAGTGAAGACAGCCCCCGTTCTATCATGTTTGCCGCAGCAGGTTTTCGTCCTCGGTTAATTGACAGCTGATACCGGAGTACCTGAGTCGCACCTCTTTCGTCTTATTCACTATGTCGGCAATGGTTGTCGGCGAAAAGAATACTTTGTGCGTGTTCCTTTGGTATTCCCTCGCCTTTCCGTTGGAGTTTCTTTCTGTTTTTCGAGCTGCGACCTGGTTGGGCAGGTATCCTGCTACGAGAGAGAGACGGAGGGAGTGTCCAGCCGAGGCCTGAAATCGGCGGGCCGCTTGGCGTTAGTTGCAAGCGGAAGGCGTTGTGCCGACTCGAAGTCTTAGTAGTTTTTGCTCGCAGAAAATGGAAGCTTTCGTTTCCTCCACCCTATTCTTGTAAGCATGGTATTAATAATTTGGGCGAAATATCCTGGCGTTGGCGAAGCGACAGCGGGGCGCCCCATATGGATTTACTTAGGTCATTCATCGTGCTTCGGCGTGGCCATTTGGACGGAGGAGATTGCCTCTTATCGCAGCTCAAATTGAGCTGTGCGATTGAGGCTCAATCGCAGAGGAGTGCATGAGTAGGTGCTAGTAAGCCATTTTTAGCTACCGGAAACGTTATGCGAATGAAGCAGTGTGATCTACGAAACGCTTCAGCGTGGCAATTGTGGCGCAATATGCACTAGCAACTTGACAGGCAATGCCATTGGCATTTGCCAACGGTGTAAGGGCCGATCTGCAGCCGCTTGTTCTGTACGTGTAGACTGTAATGAACTTTCTTCCGGTAAAGGTTTCACTCTTGCCAGCACAGCGCTTGTCTCATCTTAACATGGCTTCCGCAGTCCCGACGCATTGGCCAGTGAAGCATCTATTCTTCACAAGGAAATGGTGCTTCACCGTGATCGATGATCGATGTCGTGCTTGGACTCGACAGCCCAAAAACGGTCACTGCTTCCCCGGATAAACTATCAGTGATAGTGAGAACGCTGAACAGCATCTTTGAGGAAACAGTGTGTGAAGTACAGTTGTATTGTAACTTATAAGCGACTGCAGCTCCTTTTAATAGCACACCTGAATAGTTTCGTGGCGATAACGCGAACACGTTCATGCATTGAACTCGACTTGGCGAAATCATCATGATGCTTACCTTTGTCTCAATCGTTTCAGTAACCAACCAGGTCACGTTGAGCAGGTACGAAGCCACGGTGACTTAGCCACCAGGCTAGGGAATCACATGGAATGAAGCGCTCAGTCCCGAGGCCCTACGCGAGGCAGCCTCTGACGCTAAACTTGGCCATTCCGAAGTGTTTGATGTCAAGAAGCCCGGGCCGCCACGGGTTTTCATCTGGCTGCTCCTTTCATCACTGTCGTCCAGTGAACGTGGTGCTGCCATTGTCGAGGTGTCCGTTGAAGAGGGTAGCATAGAGACAACAAACTCACCGGGCTCAGCTCGCCACTGAAAGCCATGACCCACCATGTGCGGCTCGTAATAGCTCCAATCCTCAGGTGTGAGTACGAATTCGACATCTTGGCTGGCCCCCGGTGCCAGCTCGTCCAGTTTCTCGAATGCCTTGAGTAGCTTCGTTTCGGGCACAGATACGCGTCGGAACTTCTGGGATACAAACAGCAGCACGACCTCCTTGCCCGAGCGAGTACCGCGATTCGTCACGGTGACTGCTACTTTCAGCGCTCCCGTTGTAGCGTGAACCTGAGTGGCATTAAGTCGTAATGTCGAGTACTCGAATTTCGAGTAGCTGAGTCCGTGACCAAATTGCCACTGCACAGGACACTCGTCGAACGGTTGACATCGCGTGTTGACACGGTGAAAATACGGTTATAACTGGGTACTTCGCGCTGGGTAGGTAATAGGCAATCGCGCTGACGGATTCACAACCCCAAAAATCACGTCCGCCAGTGCCTGGCCACCCTGCTCGCATGGCAGCATGCTCAGGATAACAGCGTCAGCATGGTTGTGGGCCCCCTCGAGCAAACGAGGACGACCAGAAACGAGCACGACAATCACCTTGGTCGAATTCAGCTTTGTAAGCTCCTCAAGGTACCACAACTGTCCAGCAGGTAAAGCCATACTTCCTAGCAAGTCGCCAGTCTTCTCCGCATAGTTTGGCTCACCCAATACAACCAGGGTGTACTCGCTTTTGGCGGCAAGCTGCATTCCTCGTTGAAAGTCCTGAGGGTTCACATTGCCATCAATATCAACCACCTCGAGATGATGTAGCTTCGATTGCCCGCCCGAGGACGCTGCCTTGGCCTGAACGGCTTTCTTGAAGGTAGCACCATTCGGGAAAAGCGTCGAGTCACTGGATCCCTGCCAGAACACGGACCATCCACCACATTGAAAGCCCTTGTTGTCCGACACAGGTCCGGTGACAAAAATATTTGTCGTTTCTGTCAGGTCAATAGGCAGAGCGCTGTTGTGGTTCTCCAGTAAAATTACTGACTCCTGGGCCAACGATAACGCGGCCTGTTGATCAGCAGCATCGCCAACGGTAGACGCACTATCCATTCCGTCACGCCCAAAGCTATCGTAATAGTCTGGCTCGAGCAGTCCGAGATCCCGTTTGGTTTCCAAGATGCGCCGCACAGATTCGTCAAGACGGCTCTCTGAAATGAGTCCTTGCTCGACTAGCGACTCGATAGTGTCACCGAATGCAGGTAAGTTAGGTGACATGTTCATATCGAGAGACGTTTCTTGCAGGGCAACACGAACAGCATCAGCCACACTGGGCACTAAATGGTGTTCCGAATACATACGATCCACCTCACTGTAGTCCGACACCAATAATCCCGTGAAGTTCATATCGTGCCGTAACAAATCAATCAGCAGCTTCTTACTGGCAATCACGGGAACGCCATTCACCGACACATAGCTCTCCATTGCGGTACGAACTCCAGCGCGGACCGCCGCGAGGAACGACGGTGTGTAGTAGTTAACAAGTTCCCAGTCCGAAATGACATTGTCCGCACGATCAAGGCCTTCGCGAACGTTCGAGTAGCCTATAAAGTGCTTCATGCAAGCTGCCACTTTGCCCGAACTTTGTAATCCTTTAATTAGAGATGCTCCCATGACGGACGACACCAAAGGATCTTCTCCGAAGGTCTCGTATACCCGAGACCACTTCGGTTGCACCGCAATACCCAGCACCGGACTGAAGATCCATGGGATACCAGCACTCAGTGTGTCCTTGGCAGCAACAGCACCCATTTTGTACACCAGCCCGGGGTTGAACGAGGCAGCAGCACTGATAGGCTGACCAAATAACGTAGCCCCCTGCACGTAGGTGGCGCCATGAATAGTGTCCACGCCATACAGCATTGGTACGGCAGCGCCCTCCTCCTTATAGACCTGGTGGATCTGGTGGATCACCTCCCGCCATTCGCTCGCGCTCCAGCCCGTTCGTCCACCCACAGGCCCACCTGCGAATGGGCTGTTGAGGATCGAACCAACACCCATACGCGCATACTGAGCCACTACCTCCCGCTTTAGAGCTTTCTTCGGGTCTCTCTCATCCCCGTCCATCATGGAGTAAATGTCCATCTGTGTCATCTGCGCCGCCTTTTGGTGGATCGTCATGTTAGCCAGCAAAGCGCCGATATCGAAACCATTCGAGGTGGCTGAGGGCTCTACTGAGCTCCGAAATTCATTGAAGGCGGCGGTATTCGGATCGTACACAAGCTCATGAGCAGCAGGCGATGCAACAGCAGCGAGAGCGAGCCGAGATGCGCTGCTGCACGCCCAGCATAGCAGCCCTAGCACCAGATCCACGTTCATTTTCTGAGCAACCTGATACTTGTTTCAATCGTACTTAAACGAGTTTTAAGCTGTTTGCGCAAATTTTGCAGAGCTTGTTGATCTGAGCTTCAGACGCCACATTCGAGTTTCGTCAAGATGCTGCGGAGGTCTGTGCTGCCGTTGGCACGTCGTGCCTTCCCGCGGTCCGCGGCTAGCCTAGCGCCGTCCTGTGCTGCTCCCAAGTACTTTTCACGTGCCTTCAGCGTTGCGGAGCAGAGTCAGCGGCATGTGATCGCCGCGCTGGTTGTCAACCAGCCTGGTTGTCTGGCCGAGATCGCCAACCTCTTCGCCGCTCGAGGTAACTATCGATACGCAAAGACGCTGGCCACAGGAGATCCTAAACATGGTGTGATGCAGGCTACAATATTGACAGTCTGGTTGTGGGTCGCACGGAGGTCGAGGAGCTCTCCCGTATGACGGTTGTCGTCAACGGCACTGCGCAGAGTGTTGTCAACGTACGTATAGTAATTACAGAGACAGGAGCAGTAGGTGATTGACACTCAATGTGTCTTTGCAGATGAAGAAGCAGCTCGAGGATGTCGTGTATGTTGCTGTGGTCAATATCCTGAGCAGTGGCAAGAACGCTGAAAAGAACTACGTCGAGCGCGACCTGATGCTGGCCAAGGTGTCCACGGCCGGTACGTCGGACGCTGATCTGATACCCTACCACCACCGGAATTCGTGAACATGGACCTGACGTAAACATTTGCTGGTGTGTGTGCTGGCTACAGAGGCTGGATCTCGCGCTGAGGTGGTGGAGCTTGCCAACCTGTTCGACGCCAAGGTGATTGACGTGCGACCGCACCAGGTTATGGTACAACTGGCTGGCACCCCTGGTCGCATTGAGGCATTTTTGGACCTGCTAAAGCCGCTGGGTATCACAGAGATCCACCGCAGTGGGGTCATTGCGATGGCTCGCAGCACCAGTGTGACCGACGACCTGGGCGATCTCTCGACGTTTGAGGGCGCCACGCGAACGCTTCTGGACGAGGCCGATGACGAAGAGTTCGATGTCTCTCGCCTTCCGCCTGGATAATATGTTGGTAGAGTTATGATCATGCCATCACCTTTTTCTTCGATAGGACTTGTGCCTGATGACAATTGCAGCAAGGAACGTGCTAGCGAAGATTGTCTCTATGAGATGATCAACTACTCGTAATCAAATCAAAGTGCCTTCAGAAGAATTATGGTGCTCGCTGTTTCTGTGATCATTTCAATGAAATAAAGTCGATACAGTCCTATGTACATACGAAGTACAAGGTAAACGGGGTGCAGTACTGTACTTTACAGTACCTGGTGAGAAAAATTTCACGTCACATGTGATCATCTTTGCGCTGGACTGGACAATTGTATTCACAAAGTAATTCTGTAAGCTTAACACATTCTTTGCTCTGGACAGTCCAGACTGCAATACATGAGGACGTTTACCCGTAGTGGTATTAATATATTTTCTTTGAGGCTTACTAAAGTACTAAAGATTTGATTAGTGTTCACTGTTCCCTTTCCTTTACAGCAACAGTAATTGCAATCATGACCTACATTCCTCTTCAAGTAATTTGCTTAGTCAATCAAGCATTTCGTTCGAGCTTCCATGAAAGCATTACTGAAGTTACCAAGCTAGACACACGCAACTCTATTGCCTGATTTCTAAAGATGTACCTGCGCTCGGACCCACTAAATGAGACGCTGCCGCTAACTCGCGGGCTGCGGTCCCATCAAACGCAATCGACTACAGGACGCACACAGCGTCTGCTGTCGCCTGCGGCACGGCGCTTTATCCGTTACGGCGTTGCCTGCCTCCTTTTCCTGGCCGTGGGGGACCTGATGGTGACGCTACAGCGCTCCCTGCAGACGGAAAACCTTAATCGTACAGGCGCGCACAGGGTTGAGCCCACAGTCATGGAAGACTCGGCCGATGCCGAAGCACCCCTGCAGCCCAACGAGCCTTTCCCTGGCTTCACGGACGAAATTCTGACGCTTGCCGGAAAGCCCACTGAATATACGTCCCGACTCTTCTCGGGATATTTGCCGTTGAACAACGGAGGTCACGCATTCTACTTCCTTGCCGAGTCTCAGAGCTCGACGGCCCAGGCGGACCCCGTGCTGCTCTGGCTCAATGGAGGGCCGGGATCAAGCTCCCTTATGGGTTGTTTCTCGGAAAACGGACCGCTGCTAGTTAATGAGGACGGGAAGACGCTTAGGGTGAACAAGTTTGCGTGGAACCAGAAGTCCAATCTGCTGTGCATCGAGTCACCCGTAGGCGTTGGCTTTAGCTACAATTCCAGTGGAGTGTACGAAGCAGATGATCTCTCTCAGGCTCAGGATCTGTATGACGGGCTGCAGAAGTTCTTCGGGAAATTCCCTTGGCTCAGGGAGAACGACTTTGTCGTCTCTGGAGAGAGCTATGGAGGAATCTACGTGCCGACCACAGCACTTGCCATTCTGAACGGTAATGCGGCGACATCGGATCAGTCCCAACATATTAACCTGAAGAAGTTCGTGGTGGGCAACGGCGTGAACGAGTACATGGGACTCTCGACAGTTATGTTCGCGTACTACCATGGCTTGTTGAGCACAGAGATGTACCAAAAGTTCCAGACTAGCTGCCCCGATCTCCACGAATTCGAAAAGGCCCCCCTTGCCGCTCCTGGTATCGGTAAAGCTAGCTCGGAGTGCACTTCCGCTACCATGGACATCATGACAACGTTGGTCTATGACCGCATCAATATGTACGACGTATACGGGTCGTGTGCTGGATCGCCGAAGGAGGATATTCAGCGTCTCGTGAAGGAGCTATTGACGCCATCAATTCCTGGCAAGCTGCCACACCCCATTGGAAACACAATGGACTTGTGTCTGGACAATAAGCGTCTGGACGCGTACTTTAACTTGGCTGAGGTCCGCGACTCGATGCACGCCAACCCAATGCTGGAACATTGGAGTGCTAGTGCACTCACCGCTTCCGCCATGGATATGCTGAGTACAATTCTTGGTGTTGATCACCCGATCCTGCAGCACCCACAGATGTTGAAATACACATCTTCACTTCAAGGTGAAGTGACTCCCTTGTGGCGCCGGCTACTTGAGCGTGGAGTAAAGGGGGTAATCTATCACGGTGATTCTGACTTGGTTTGCAACGCTCTGGGGGGACTCTGGGCGGTGGAGTCGCTAGGTCTTCCCCGTCTGGCACCGCGCTCGATCTGGACTTACGAGGAGGGAGACTCAAAGCAAACGGGCGGCTTTGTGGAAGCGTTCAAGGGGATCTCGTATGTGACTGTAAAGGGAGCGGGCCACCTCGTGCCGATGGGGCAGCCTGAGGAGGCCAAGCAAATGCTTGATTTGTTTGTGCTCAACGACTTAAAGTAAGCTTTGGCAAAAGTGAGTGCCAAGCACGTGCAAAAGAAGTCGGATGTTGTGAATACCATACGTTTTGTCAGTCGGATTTTATCTGTTGCCATTTTCGTTTCGGTGTGAATTTTTGCATTTCTTATCGTGCAATTTCTTGCAATGAAAAACGGAATTCTCAAATAATATCGCCGCCAAAAATGAATCGCAAGATTCGGAGGTAAGTCGGCTTGAAGTAACGTGCCGGGCTTGACATGATGAGCGACATGGAGAGGCAGAATAGAACTACCTCACTGTGTTTCACGTAGCGTACAAGACCGCGGCGTTTAATAAGTTGCCACACGATATCGAGTGCGCGTGGGAAGCAATACAACATGAGCTCAAAGCGGCGCTTGGTATGCTCGAAGAACAGTGCTCCGCCAGATGCGACCTATTAACAACATGCGCAAGCCACGTTAACGTCATTATAGAAAGACGTCAAACACGAATCAGAAGTATACGTACACCAGCAGCCAGCGATGTTGCGGCAAGATCTCGATGGAAAGCATTGCGGGCGGTGCAAACGACAAGTTTAACCGCCGTCTAAACAGTCAAGAAAGTTAGCTCTCTGTTGGCGATATTTGTAAGTCAGTCACACAGCACTCGAACCTGATACGACGTCAGAAATGCCGAAGAGCAAAGCGCTGCGTAGGAGATTCGCGCAGTTGTAGACAATGGCGATCCGTGTAACTGCTGGAAGCGAAAGAAGATCGCCGGAAGGAAATGTACAGGAAGGTAGATTTGCATCGACCTCCCCAAGCCATTAATCCATTCTTTGATGGCGTGCGTCACGCACGACTCCCTAATCAGACGAAAGATCAGAAACTTCCAGCTCAGTATCCTTGACAACATTGTGGCGTACATGTGGTAGTGTGGTTGGCACAGGCGGAATGGAAGCGGGTTTCCATGAGTGTCAAGCTGGCCACGCATGCGTTGACGAATGGTGTATTCCAGCCCGTGATGGTTCACGGCACCAATTCGACAAATCCAATGGTAATAACCCTGGCCAAAGTGCATTGTGTAGTAGCGAAGAGTCAGAATCAAGCAACCTTTTTTGCGGCAACTACCGGTATTTACGGTACTAAGGCATTCCACATACCTTCGGCAACAAACTTGGATCCACCACAAATGCATACATAATGGCAGAATTGCTCAAGGCGAAGAGCATTTCCGACGAGTATCGCCACGTCGGTAAGACGCTGATTGACATCAAATGGCGACATACCACGTCCAACATGCGCACAAAAATGTACAGCGAAATGGTGCTGCGTCTCGACGGTGAATCCAACAGTAAGGCTGAACCGGACACCGCGCCAGCAATAGCCAAATTGACGGCATCTCTTTCACCGCCTCGAGCTGCTCGTGCCGCGAGTTCAGTGACTCGAAAAATCCCCACCAAGCTGCCGAAGAAGGCCCCGAAGCGAAGCGTGTCTCCCTTTAATAGCAATCTGGCCGCATCGGCATAGCCGTACTCTAGACTGCTCCATTTCCTCGAGGCTAGTAGTACGGCAGTGAAGGCTTTGGCTCCATAGGCGAGCAGGAAAGCTCTGGCCGCCGCTTGACACGCCGCCTCTAGATCTTTCTTGACGCTAGTCCAGCTCATCACCATATTTTGCATATCCTGCCGTCTCGCAGATGCATGTCGTTTGGCCTCATGGAGTGATTCGTTCTCAGTATCAGGGCGTCGACTAACGCCGTCACCTCCAGGACGCATAAATGGCGGCTGTCTCTGCGACTTCTGCGTTTCGTTGTGTAGCTCGAGTACCGCGGCCGTGAGTTTCGGCGACTCACGGCGCCGCTCCAATGTAAAGAAGGCCGAATAGATGCGCTCCATCGCAGCAGCGAGACGATGACTGCGTCGACTGGTGACGAGCTTGAAGCTGGGGAAGGTTTGAAAACCTAATAGTACCGGTATTTATCTTATAATACCGGTAGGCTGAAATATTGTTGGTTGAGTCCAAGCTTTGGTTGCAAATCTCAGATGGATCCTGGACAAAACAAAAAGAAAAGTGACGTGGCTCACGTCATGTGAATTGGCATCGTGGACTTGACTGAAAACACATTTATATTTTCTCCAAACCCCTACTTTCGACTACACACGAAGCCACCTCAGCAGATTCTGTCTCTAGCTTCAAGAGAGATCCTTGTCACGAGAGATTTTCCTTAAGTACTACAGTATCCATTTCCAATTGCTAAGAGACGGCAACAACAGTCATCCGGGTCTACATCAGCCGTGGGTTCCGGCCAAATAGATTCCCTCCGCCTCCACTCATCAACCCTTTAGATGTCGAGGTACTCAGATTCGCGTTGTATCGACTTCGATTGGTGTTCTCATTCTCAATTGGCGCAAACCTACTCAGAGGTAGCGCATGCAACTTGCATAGCACACAGGGAGCATTTTGGCAACTTATCTGGTGCAAGCGGCACCAGTCGCTGTCTGACCCCACAGCAAACTTATCGCAGAAGTCGTGGCGACATTTTCGAGCCACCATGTGGTTCGCACAGCCACTGTAATTTGACTCAGCACTGTACATGCAACCTTCGAATGCACATTGCTGACGAAACGCGTGGAACTCGCAGAACTGTTGATACCCCACCAGATTTTCGCATCCTGGTTGCCAACAAAAAGTGGCTTTAGAGTGGGCCAAGCACAACATAGTTCCACCACACGCGATTTGTGAGCAACTTGGGAATTGGCAACTGATAGTTGGCTGCTCAAACCCCATCTGCTGTACGCCTGGCATGTAGTTGCTCAACGGGCCACCCGATGAAGCATCGGGCTGCAACTTGCCAGCAGAAATTCCCTCTTGCAGACGATAGTGACGCTTGCACAGATTTTGTCTATGAGCCTGCTTGCCGCACCCATCAGCTCTGCAGTAATACTTTCGGGCTTTACCAGAGGTAGGTGGGCTTGCGTGTTTAGCATCGGCTGCTGCTGCAGCGACTGCTGCTGCTTCTGCCAACTCCTGTTCATGTTGCAGTTGTTGCGCCTGGGAATCCAATTTCAAATTATCCACAGATAACGACCCTGTTCTGAAGGCTCGAAGATGCGTTGAGCACAATCCACCACGCGCAGAGTCTTGACCACAACTGTTCACTCGACACAGTAAAGCCTTTTCTTCAGGTTGACCGACGCCAACATTCGTAGGAGTAAGCGGGTATCCAGAAGAGCTGGTATTTATCGATCCCTGCGGTGAGAAAAATCGCTGACACGCCTCACAGAAATCCCGGCCAAAGCTTTCTCGGTCACAAATAGGATTCGAGCACTTTCCTGAGTGACTAATGCTTACCGTCGATGACATATCCGATGGTTGGGGGGCATCAACAGCTAGAGGCTTTTCGTTCAAACCAAATACTCCCGGCTTTGCTTCACTATCCACGTCACCCGAAAAGATGCCACTACTCTCTCCAGACGGGAACGGATCTCCATAGCGATTTTGGTTCTGACTCAGATTCTGGAGTTCCCTGGTATGTTCCACACACAATCCTGCAGAATACGATAGATTCCCACAGCCGGGCTTTCCGCAGCCAGTGTCCTTAACAGCTCGAACATCACTGTCGTTTTTACTTTTCGCCCTTTTTGGTTTACCTGAATCGGCTTTTCGTTTCGTTGATGAAGCCGACGTTGACGATTCCTTTTGCAGATGATGTTTCTCGAAATAATGCGTCGTGCACAGTCGGTCTCGCTGGGAATTTTTCGAGCAATTTTCGTGTGTGCAGCGACGTATTTCTTTCTGCATTCTGGCTAAAACTTCCTCGTAGCTTTCAGTGGCTCCCGGTCGATCTGCCAACTCTTGAGCTTGCTTTATGATAAGATTCCCATGCGTGCGGCACAAGTGATTTCGCTGAGAATGCTTGGGACAGTCTGGGTAGCTGCACATGGTGTACGCACTGTTGAGGCGGCGCTTGTTGACGTGCGGAGGTAGGCGTCCAGTAGCCATCAGCAATTTCTCATGACCACGGCAGTAACCACGCCCTTGATCGTTCTTAAAGCACCCGGATGTTTTGCATACAGGCACGTTCTGCGAGCGTGCTTTCAAGATCTCCTGTAGTGCCTCCTTGCCCTGTTCCAAGTGCTTAGCGCACATCGCAGCTCTATCCATCGCTTTGTCCCGACAACCAGGAAAGCCACAGGGTGCAACAATCACGTGTCGATTGCAGAATTTTCCGTACGACTGAGACACCCGTGCCCGATTCGGACAGTCGGGAAACTGGCACCTCTCACTTCTGTCTTTGGAGAGTTCGTCAGCCTTCAAATCGAGTACACTAGACTCGTTCAATTGTGCGTACGCGGCGTCTACCAGAGCTTTGGTGGCTACATCGGACGAAGGTCGAGTGCTTGCTGTTGACTTCCTGTTCGTCGTTAAACGAGCCTGCTTTGGCTTTGGTGGCGTAGTTGGTGGCCCAGAATGCATCGAGGTCGTCGTTACAGGCGGCTGGAACCCGCCTGTGTCCTCAGTTGAGGCACTAGCTGACCCAGTCATGCTGTCGTGGAGTGAGTTCACGTCAAAACTCGCCACGCTTATCTCGGACACTGCGTCAGACGGTGTTCGGCCGGACGTCGCGCTTTCGTTGACTCCCGGGGCGGTGTCGGGGTCCAGCATGCCTCCAAACTCCCCCAAGTCCATGCTGTCACCGTGGCGTCTCTGTTTTGCGTAGCTCGACGCGTCCATCCCTGTTGGAGGCTGCCAGTAGTGTCTCTCTGGTGGCATCTGCTGCGTCAGCTGCTGGTGCTGGTAGCTCCGCATAGAGGGCTCCATCGGGAGCGGGTACTGCGGAAAGCTTGCCGCCTGCGGCTGTGGATGTGGCGTCTGATGAAAGGGGTCTCCTGGCTGGGCCAGGAACGGCATCATCAGCGAACGTCGCGGCATCCCACCGCTTCCGCTCGCGTCCTCGGTCTGTCGGCGCTGCTGCATCCTGCGGGCGGGCACACACCTTGCGGGGTCTGTGAGACTGGACAAGGGCGAAGGGTGGGGTTCACTGTGGTGAGCCGCGAGTGAGGCGTGTGGTGGATGGCTGGGCTCAACTGTTTATCTTGTGTTGGGTATCGTCTGCGTTCTTCTCGCTCGGGTCGCCGTCAATTGGACAAAATCCGCGAGGTTCCAACTGCGATCGCAGTTTCAACCTGCTGTAAAGAAGCCGCACATACCGCGGAAGTAAGTCACCAAATTCACGCGCACACTGATAACTTACCCCGTTTAGGCGTTTTAGTATCGGTAAATGAGCCCAACGACTAAGTAGATACATTTGCCGCGAAAAAAAAAACTCGAAGACCAACGAGATCGGGCCGGAAGAAGTAAGTTCGGTGATATCCGCGAGCTGTACACCCATGCGAAACTCACAGCGAGTGTTTTGGAAAAGGGAGTAACTACCGCCTTAGGGCCGTTCTTAGCCAAAAAATAACGGTGGATTATGCTTCCATGGCCCAATCATTTCACTTGGATCCATATGGCAGTGGACGCCGTATGGTCCGTTTGATCCACGTCCACTGTGTGAAATTAGGGTTGGTGGCCGTGGACGGAAGGTGGACGGGAGGAGAGACATACCTGACGGGATAGAACGACACATTGAGTTTATACAGCTCATTCCATCAAGTCTCCTGAAGCACTCAGTCCACATCAGCAACCAACGGTCCCCTGTCAATCTATCGCCGTTGGACGTTGGCTCGATCGCGAAGACGACGAGTGATCGCTATGATCTCGCTGGGTGTGCGCATTTTGTTGCGATAGTGGAAGAGAACAAATGCAAAGCGATCAAAGTGATCCATCGCAGTTATAAGCTAATATTAGATGTCAACCACCCCTCCTTCAACCTTAGCCACTAAGGCCATCCACCAGTTTTAAGTTTGTTCTTAGCCGAATCAAGCACAAAAAGTACCATCCACCTTAACTCTCATCCACTTGCAAAAAATCGGCTAAGAACGGCCCTTACCCCTCTCATAACCGACGTTTTCTCATTGCCGACAGACCATATTAGCCAATAGAAACCTGAATGGAGTTCATATGTTGTGAGCTTCTGCCCGCACTAAAACGCTATACCGACACCGCTAAAACGGAGCTGACACCCACTTGTGATTCTGCTTCGTGTCGACATCGAAGATCTTGTATTTCCAGGTCTGTTATGGGGCGTCAGTGCACCACTGGTACGGGTAAGAAACCAAAAACTTACAGCCGCACGTCATTTACCTACAAGCACAAGCTGGAAGTGCTTGTTTTTTTGGACGTAATTCATGACACTGGTAAAGCGAAAGGTCTTTCCTTACTACCTTTCCAGTCAACAAGAATGGTGAGGGAAGGTCAATTCAGTGGCGCGTCGACGGAGATTCCGTGCCAGATCGAGTGCGATTCCGGCTAGTCGAATCGCTTGTTGATGATGCGTTGGATAAGTTGAGGGGCGGATTGGCGCTAGATGAAGAAATTGAGTTGGACAGTGACGGTGAACGAATGGGCAGCATTGAGAGCTACGTGGTGTCAATTGAAAAAGTTGGTCAGTCAACAGAGGAATCAC